GTTGGTGTGGTGAGGAACTGGATCGAGAGGAGGACCACCGCAAGGCACTATTTGATGTTAAGCAAGGAAGGGGAGTGCGTGTCTCGAGGGAGAGACCTCGGAGTAATATATATAGGTGGCAAAGGTGCCCAGCGGCAAGCGCCAGCGCCGGTGGGGCTCCGGCTAGCCGGCTAGTTGCTTTCCGAGCCAGGCCGCCCGGCGGGGGAGATGCAAACGTATGGTGCAGCCAAGTACTACCACTACGTACTTTTTTTTCCGGGGTACTAGTACCTACTACGTACTTAATACTGTTGCACTCACTCACTTCCTCGCTCGCCCGCGCCCTTATCTGCTCTCGTTGCTGACGAACTCTCTGTGTTTTTTTTCGGGTGTTTGCTGACGATCTCTATAGTCTATATATACCACGTAATTTTGGAGATTAATTTACTGAGTTCTGCATTTCTTCCGAGTACATATCTGCTCCTGATAAAATGTTTCAGCAAGTACAGTTTTGTCACCCGAAAAAAGAAAGCAAGTTCAGTTAATTTGCAACACAGGAAGGAAAGCATATGCACGCATCAGTTTACTTGGAGCGACCGAAAATCGAACAGATTATCCGTCACTTTATCCGGTTTTGATTGTCGTTATCACCCGTCCAAAAGTTGTTGTTGCTATCCGTCCCCCTCCTGGCTCTTTCTCTTACTTTGTTGAAGTAGGGGTCCGGAGTCGGGATGGCATTTGACAGTGCTTAATTTGGGGGTTAGTGGGGCAATGCACGGGCTCCCAGGCGTAAACAAGAGAGCGGCTCGACAGGTGACCATTGCTACGCTATAGCTCCTGGAAAGGGCTCTCGCTTTCGTCGAAAAGATCGGCCCTCCGGTTATTAACTCCCTCTAGTTTATAGTTATACATGCATCTCGTTTTGAATTTGATGCGTGGTGTACTATTCCATGAGCTACTCTAGTATATACAGCCGACTGTTTACTCTCCATGAGCTTTATAAAGCTGCTCGATCTCCAATTAGTAGTAGTAGCAGCTATTAGTAATTTCAAAATTAATACCTAGCTAGCGACAAAAGTAAACAGCACTCGGCGGATTCTAAATTGAACTGCCCAATGCGATCGAACGACCTTTCGTCGCAACAACGAGCAGTGGATTGACTTGTTACATCGCCGTGCTACATGCATTCACGCTGCAAACGTACAAGAGCTCGTTTAATTATTTTAGCTAGGAAGAGGATGGTGATCGAGGTCGGAAATTAAACGTGTCAATTAGCAACAAAGAGGGAGAGTGAGACCTCAACTCATATCTATCTGTCGACGACGATCGAGAAGGTACACATGCACGCTGGCTCTGTGTTTGCATGATCCATCGGATCGATCAGTGCGGATAAGGGATATCTACCCGGTCACGCAATATCCACGAAGGGAAACAAGTGATCGATTGGCAACTCGGCCATGCATGACAAACGCATGCGGTAACCACAACCTGCCTGAATTAGCTGCAAATTAAAGGAGGCATGCATGTGCTCTACTGCTCTAGGATAAGCTCAACAAGGAGAGATATGTGCATGCATTCATACTGTGTATGTGTAGGGGAAATTAGCAGGGGATGATCTTTAGTGGCCAGCGATCGAGGAAGGAAGGGAAAGGAGAGAAAGAGATCAAGATCAAGATCAAATCAAAGTCATGCAGCGAGCGGCGCAGGCGAGACTGTGGCTGCGGGAGTAGGAGGGGTAGCTTGCTAGCACGGGAGACAAGGGGCCTAGGCACATGGTGGCGGGCCGAGTAGGAACAGGAGGGATCCCCCACGCGTCGACCCGCGGCTGGCTCCGGACACCCCAACCACTGGACCACCCGCCCCCGCGCCCCTGGACGTGTCGTCACCCGCTACCTCCCCTCCCTCGCCCCGCGATTCCAAAGGAGCCGGCCACTGCTCCTCCCTCGGGCCATCCATTAATTCCCATTAGTTTTCTCTCTGCGCCTTGCAACTTGCGAGTGTTGAACATGCGGATTAAGATGACAGACCATTCCTTGTGCTAGAGCAACAGTAGCTGAGTGGCTGCATATCTACTCAGCATACTCACCTTTACCCTCTGAGCTTTCTCCAGTGTCCGTACTGTCACTGACGGTGCATTCATTTCTACTATCTGAACTGTAAAGCCCGCCGTGTAACAACTCGGCCGGATCCTGGACCGATTCCGTCCAATTAATCCAACCCATTCACGACAGCCAATAATCCCCTCATCCTCATGCATGCACATGCACATGCTGCCAATGAGCCATTTTCCATGGCCTGCATCTCATGCTCATCCGCGTGGAACCGGAACCTTTCGACGGCAGGCGGATTACATATGCCAACCAGCTCATCTCCCTTCTAATGGCAAGTTTTCGATGCCGCTACTGCCCGTGTTGACCTGTGCCCTGTGCATTCTCGGTAAGGCCTATCCGCCTCCCAGTTTCGAATCTCAGGCCCGCAAAGCTGCGAGAAAGATATTAGCCGCCATGGATGTTCTTGGCAATGCAGGTGCCCGCTGGGTCCACGGCCATGGGGTTGTTTGGCCGCAAGCATCAACACGTAGACTTATCGGATCCGTGTTATCCGTATGCGTTGTCAACACAGCGTACGTCTCTTGCATGTTCTCTCTATCGAGAAGATGGACATGGATTGCTTTTGGTTAGCACGAGAACTACGTAAGCTGTAGAGTGCAGTTGCATCTCTCCATGAATTAAAGCAAGAGTACTCAAGCTCAACTTCTGTACAAAGGAAGTATATATATCGACAACAATTCAAGGGTGATTCGTACAACTGGCTAAGTAGATTATACACTTATACCTATAAGATAGTATTGGAGAGTACGTACATACCAAGGTTTTCAAGGAGAAAGCTACTGAAGAATGGGTATCTTACATGTAGATGTAGGAGCAGAAGCCACTGGACAGTGGTTGGTTGATGATTCTGCAGAGAGTGAAGGAGATTAATGTTGTTAATAGCAGCTATTAGCAGAGCTTAGCTGTACAAAGGTTCTATAAGCATGATTCTTTACACACACATCTAGGCTGGTTCGTCCCAATATAAGATTGCAGTACCACTATACTATCCAAACAAAGGACAGTTGTCCAATGGAGAGAGAAAAAACACAGGCTGTTAGGAGATAAACCCAAATTCTCAAGATCATGTACTCGATTCCTCCCACATGCTCCGTGTGCTCCACTTGCTCTAATTATAATGCACTTATTGCACTGACTTAAAAAGGTGGTTAAACTAATGGAGGCGCCCTTACTCCCGGACAAGGCACGCTCCTGCTTCCCAACTTCCAACTGATCTCCTTGGATCTGACCGAAACCTGCAGCTCAAAGTCTTGAATGAAGATGTAATCAAAGCCCTAAGGTCAAATCTTTGTAAGATGAAAATTTGCTTAGCGAACAGTTGGTAAATGTTTGCATGGTTAATTTCATTCTAGTAATGTTGTTATTTTTCTTCTAGATGTTCAATGATAGAGTACGGGCCTCTTCCCAAGGAAATTGAAAACGTAGCAATAAGAAAAACATAGGACTAACATATCATGTCTACTATGAATTTCTACATGATTTTAAAACATATGAATTTTTAAAGAGATGTCTTTCTATGGCGCGCCGAAAAAACACATGAGTTTTAGAGAATTATTGAGGGAAAGTAGGAAGGAATATAGTGCCAGTGTATTTGAAAATGAGGTTTGATCTGATGTTGAGATTCCTACGAAATTAATGAGTGCAGAAATGAATTCCATAGGAACTTGGTGACCCAAACCAAATCCAATAATTCAAGGGGTCTCCATAGAAAAAGTTCTATGAATTGACATTCTTAAAAGTTCGTATGAAATTTCCTCAGCCCAAAGGGGCCCGTACTACAATAATATATACTCCTTCACCTTTCGGGTATTATATACGGGTATAATATATACAATTCGTATGAAATTCCCATGGAGTAGTATATATTGGATTAACTTGTACGGGACCTAGATTTTCACGCACCATCAACTTTAGCCAAAAAATCGTTCACCTTTCCTTGAATTACGCCACCAACCATGTGACATGACCCACACATACTACTATAAAATAAACTCTATTTCAAGGCCCTAAGATCGATACTACGCGCGCTAAGAAATGGTGATTAGCCAGTAGCCATGTAGTACGTGCCGACGGCACGGCGAAACGTGGCAAGTAGGTTGACATTTTTGGTATAAAATATTCTTCTCTTCAGCTATAAGGAAATGGAGGCAGCCGATTACTCTAATCTCCGTACTTCCTGATGCCGGCTGTGTGTGGTTGTCATCAGCAAACAAATCGTTCCCATAGTTATTTACTGGTTCAGGCATTTCTAGCGCCAATAGGAAACGCAAGGTCTTTGTACTTGCGGAATCTTTGAAAGAATCTCTCTAAAAAGGAATCACTTTAGGGGAACCGAATCGTATATGACATCTGTAGTGTTTAAGAAATGAATCTAAGAGTGAATTTCAATTTTTACCCTATATATGTATTATTATTTTCGAAGCATAGGCAAAAAAAAAATCCTAGTCCATTAATAAAGAAGAAGGGAGTCACCTGCTTAATTAACGGAAAACCGTGACAACTCACTGAGCGGCACACAAGATACCTCACACACACTATCGCAAAGAAAGTCTCGTCAAGGTAGCATATTGGAGTCATCATCATTACTTTTCCCAAGCAGCGTCATTGCCATCCCTTCTTCATGAGCAAGCGACTCTGATTTCGCCGCAGATGACCGCCGACTCAGCCCAATCCACAAAGGCCATGCAAAGCCACATGAAAATTCATGCCAAGTAGCCAGCCACCAGGACGGGGCAGTGCAGCAGAAGCTCTGCTAACATGGAGCTACGGAGGAGAACAATGCAAAGCTACCTACTAAACAAACCACCTGTCGCTCGTCATCACTGCCACATAGACCCCGTCGCCACAGCTCCAACTTCACAAAAACAAACAACCCAAGATAAACCCACGAACACGCCAAAGAAGAGTTGACTACCACAACCATAATGTGACCCTGACATCACTAACCCCACCGTCATTGCCACAGAAGCCAACACGCCATTGTCGTTGTCCCGCTAGCTGGATGAAGCTCCGAAAATGATGCCCGTGAGAGGGGAACAACATCGAGACACCGCCATCATCTGACCTCATCGGGTTTAGGGTTTCCACAAATGTGTCTCCGGCAGAGAGAACCCAAGTAGTCCAACGACGCCTTAAAGTTCATGGCATCCATGGACTCCGTTGTCTTGGCTCCGACCATGGTCGAAGATGGGCCTTCCGTCGGCTTCACCATTGATCCTCGGCCCAAAGAAATCCATACATACAGCCCATCCGCTCGTCATAGCTTCTCAAATCCATGGTGATCTCACACACCCCTCTCTACAGCCGCAACCGTCGCAAGGCAAAGCTCAACCTCGACCCTCCGATAGCCAAGCCATGGGACAGAGGCACCCTCAAAGCTCGAGATGCACGTATTGTCCAGAGGAGCACCGGGACATGGGAAATGCCGACATCGCCCGAGCCATGGCACTACATAGCCATAGACACCCCAGACTTGATCCTCTGGCACGGGGACATTCCTACCCCTAGAATCAATGACATCACTCACCACAGCCACCTTCGTCACCCCCAAGTTGCTGACTATAAGGTCCAGACCAGGCCCATCTCATCGTGCTACTAACTCATGCACGCCTGTCACGGCTACATCTCTAGTGCACTCGACCCTTGTGTCGGGAGCTCCCGCCATGTCTCAAGAAGCCGCCATCGTGCCCCATTGCACGCACTCCATGGACAGAAATTCAAGAGCACCCACAGCCGCTTGTGCACCCGCACCTACCAGCCCTTGTCCCCTAGTCAGGCATCACGCCGACCCTAGGCCACCACACCAAGTTCTCGCACGTCTCAGCTCAGTTGCTCTACCCCGCATCATAACACGCCTCACGGAGGGAGAAGAAAAGCCTGTCACTGCCAGTGCCATGTGGACTTTGCCCGACAGCGCAGAAAGTCCATCTAATCTGCTTGGTGGAATTTTTTTAAAAACAATTGGTCTCAATATATCTCAAGGGACTAAATATTTAACTTTCTTATTTTAGGAAATTTCCTTAGGTTGCAACAAAGGAAATGGATGGTGACCCCCACAAATTATCATGAATACAAGTGTTGGCCAAGCTAAGGATTTTTCATTTTCATTTTAGTGATCCAAGATCAGTCAGAACCGTTGAGCAGTTCATCCAGATATAGCCGTTTCAAACCCTAGCACTTAAGAGCAGTTAAGTCCTCCACTCAGAACACCAATGTGACTGGCAAACCTTCTATTACCCTATAGGAGTTCTCAAAGGCCTCCGCTCAGAATGTCTGAAGTGGTTGTAGAGAGTGTCCCACGGTTGCGGCAGTCCACTAGGCCAGAGCCTCTGAATGCTAGCTGATCGGACCATCCAAGTCATTCAAAATTTGCCACCTTTAGCTTTGTTTGGTGCCTCAGAGCTAATCCCTTCAGAGCGTCCAAGTTGTGTTAAAGTGTGTGTAACAGTAATATTTTTGGTCCAGCCTATAAATACCCCACCTATCCCACCAGTGCACTCAAAGAAAACTCCACTCATATCATATTTTGTGAGAGAAATCCACCTTCTTGTGTTGATTTCGAAGAGCTTTCAACTCCAACAAACAAGCCAAGTCTTTGAGATCTAATCACATCTTCACTTTCCACTTCCACTTCTCCAATCCAAATGCCAAATCTTGATAGAGTTGAGTTTCGAGGAGAAATATTTTGAAGCACAAGAGCAAGGGATTCATCACCAGGTAACCTCAATCTTACTACTTTTGGAGGGTTTGTGTGACGCCCGGATAATTAAGCTACAGTGATCCCCCGCTAATGATGCCACGTCACCTCAGTTACTGTGGTTAAACTCGCATCAGTTTGAAACCCAGTTCAAACTTCAAATTTAAAACAAAAGCAAACGATAAAAGTTTTCAAATAATAAAACTAAAATGTTCGGAGTGAACCAAATATTGCATAGGTAAATTTGGTGGAGAAACCACACTTTTATAAAAGTGTAAAATACTCTAGAATGTTTTAAACAGTAGAAAAAACAATTAGTTGAATGCCTTTTACATTAAATAAAATATTAAACTATTTTATTTAGTTCCCAAACTTATGTGGCAGTAGCCTATTTATTAACACTAAAGTAGGGACTACTTTTATAGTTTATAAAACTAAAATAAAAGAGGAACTTAAATTAAAACAAAAAAATAAAGCAAAATGAAAAGAACAAAAACGAAAAACAAAGCTAACAAAAAAATTGAAAAGGAAAGCCCACCCCCGTGGGCCAACGGACCCAACAGGCCGACCCAGCCTGCCTCCCCCACTCGTCGTCTTCCCCCCTCCTGTTCCCCGATGCACTGGGCGCTGGTGCGTCGTCCATGGAGCGGGGTGCCGCACGCGTTGGCCAGCCGCCGCTCCCCGACGTCTACAAGGGCGGCCACGACCTCCTTGCCCCGCGGATGAAACCCTAGTGCCTCTCTTTCCTCCCTCGCATCGCACCTTTCTCCACAACTCGCGCCCGATGCCGTCCTCGCCATGGCCGCCGCCGCCCTCGCGCTCACCATCGCCCCCACCGTCTAGGAGCTAGCCCAGGAGATTCGCCAGCCACGCCTTCCTCTACCTCGCCACTGGATCAGAGTCGGGGAGCTACAACCACGACGACCCCTTCGTCTCCGTCTCCGTCGGCCGTCGTGAGCTCCGCCCGGTCCGCCGCTGTTCTGCAGCTTCTAAGCCATCGACGGGCCTTCGTGCGCCTGCTAGGTGAGCCCCGCGCCTTCCCTTCCCTCTCCGGCAACGCTCCTGCCCCGTAGCTCGCTCGCCGCTGCTGCCGAAGCTTGACCCCGCCTCGGAGCTCCTCGTCATCGCTACCGACACCGTCGAGCTCAACCGAGCCCCGCGTCGCGCTCAGGGCCTCACGGCGAAGCCGCCCGCGCCCTTAAATGTCTTGCCGTGCGCTGCGACGTCGACCCCATCGAACGGCCGAAGGCGCCGCTGCTGCAGCTAGTCGTCGGCGCCCTTCCCCGCCTCTCCAGCTGCTGCCGCGGCCATCCCTAGACACGGCTCATCGCCCCCTTTCGAACGTGCCCTTCCGTGCGTCAGATGGACGCTGGGGGGGGGGACAAATCCCGCCCGGCTTCGACGTAGATCCGCCACGCAAGAGGCTCGCCGGAGCTCTCTCCGGCGCCACGCCGACGTGGCCACCTGGGGCAACCCCGCTGGGTCACTGACTAGTGGGCCCGGCCCCCTGTTGATCAGTTGAGTAAGTCAACTGCTGACTGGGACACCCCTGTCCCACTGACCTATGGGCCCCACCTTAATAAACAAAATAAATAAAAGAATAATTAGTTAATTAAATAGTTTAGTTAATTAAAACCCTAATCTCTCACTGACTACTGGGACCCTCTCACTAATTAGGTTAGTTAGGTTAAAATAACTCTATTAGTTAGCACTGTCACTAACATGTGGGTCCCAGTGGACCCACTTGTCTGGTCTGACTAGTCAACCGACCAGTTGACCTGCTGACATCACGCTGATGTCATGCTTGCGTCATCGTCCACTGTTCTGGATAACGTTGGATTTAAATAAATAAATTCAGGAAATTAATAAAACTTTAGAAAATCATATCTTTAAACCGTAGCTCGGATGCAAATAATTTATATATGAAAGTTGCTCAGAACGACGAGACAAATCCGGATACGCAGCTTCTTCGTCCGCCACGCATCCCTAGCATAGCGAACACGCAACTTTTCCCCTTCGATTCATCTGTCTGAAAAACGCAAAACACCGGGGATATTTTCCCGGATGTTTTCCCCCTTCACCGGTATCACCTCATACCGCATTAGGGCACCCCTAGCACCGCTACTTGTCATGTCATGCATCGCTATGCATCTGTTTGCATTATATTCATTGTTTCTTCCCCCTCTTCTCTCCGATAGACTACGAGACTGACGCCGCTATTGGTGCCCCGTCAGACTATGTTGTTGACGACCCCTACTTGCCAGAGCAACCAGGCAAGCCCCCCTGTCGGTGTTAAAACCGGCGGATCTCGGGTAGTGGGTCCCGAACTGTGCGTCTAGGCCGGATGGTAACAGGAGGCAGGGAACATGATGTTTTACCCAGGTTCGGGCCCTCTTGATGGAGGTAAAACCCTACGTCCTGCTTGATTAATATTGATGATATGCGTAGTACAAGAGTAGATCTACCACGAGATCAAGGAGGCTAAACCCTAGAAGCTAGCCTATGGTATGATTGTTGTATATGGAGTTCATTGCCTACGGACTACAACCCTCCGGTTTATATAGACACCAGATAGGGTTAGGGTTACACATAGTCGGTTACAATGGTAGGAGATCTTGAATATCCGCATCGCCAAGCTTGCCTTCCATGCCAAGGAAAGTCCCATCTGGACACGGGACGAAGTCTTCAATCTTGTATCTTCATAGTCCTGGAGTCCGGCTGAAGGTATAGTCCGGCTACCCGAACACCCCCTAATCTAGGACTCCCTCAGTAGCCCCCGAACCAGGCTTCAATGACGACGAGTCCGGTGCGCAGATTGTTCGGCATTGCAAGGCGGGTTCTTCTCCAAATCCTGTGTACCTGTAGGAATAATGTCTAATTTTTGTAATGTAGCGCTCCTCGGCTCCCACGCCCAATAATGGCCGTCTTCCACATGTCAAATGAATGTGAAAAGCCAAGGCGTTTTTACATCCACACCCCTAGCCGTATAAACGAGCCGCCTGTTTAACGGGATGGGGATTGAGGTCCAAACCACATCTTCTCCTCTCCGCGAGTTATCATCAGAGCGCTTCCAGCAAAGGTCCATTCCAACATGACCAGTCGTCGCAGCTCCTCCCCTCGCCCCTCTGGTCCCAAACCCGGGGACTGGGAGAGTTGCACCATCCCGCATAGCGAGTTAGCGTCGCTTCAGGCCAAGGGATTTCTCCCTCAGGCATACATGGTCCCGGTCCGAGCCGGTCTCGCCACCTACAATGGCGAAAAACAAGCGGAGAGCACCCCCAATCCTTCTAAAGGAGAGCGGGTGTGCCTCGTCCCCTATCTAATAAGGGGACTGGGGTTTCCAATTCATCCATTTCTCCGTGGGCTTCTGGAGTTCTACGGCCTCCAGCTGCACAATCTCACGCCCGCCTCCGCATTACATATTGCGGGTTTCGTCGCCCTTTGTGAGCTATTTTTAGGCGTTGAGGCTCATTTCGCGCTGTGGAAGAGGTTATTCTGCCTGGTGCCCCGTTCTCGAGAGGGGTCTATATACCAAGTGGGCGGAGCCGAAGTATGGCGCATCGCCGGGACCGGATACCTATCCGGAACCCCAAAGAAGGCATCCGAGGACTGGCCTTCGGAATGGTTTTACATAGATGACGTCCCGCTACCGGACCCTATCCGGGTCGGTCTCCCTGAGTTCAATAGTGCTCCATTGAAGAAACGCTTGAGCTGGCGTCCGCGGAGCTCTCAGAGAGAAAGCGACAGAGACGTCCTTTACCTGATGGGCCGGATAAGACTGTTGGCTCATTCCGGACTAACCATGATTGGAGTCATGGCCGCATGCATTATGCGGGGGGTGCAGCCACTTCAATATAGAGGCCACCCCATGTGGGATTTCAACGGGGAGGATGACGCCACCCGTTACGGTCGTAAGGGGCTGGCCTCAGTTGCCGCTCTAGTAAAGATCTTATCCTCTTTGTATAAGGGAGAAAAGGAGGAATTCCTCCGCGTCAACCCGCAGGCCGGATTTATTATGTACGATCCTCCAAGTTGGGTAAGTGAACAACTGCGCTTGCCCATTTGTTTTATACTCCCACAGTTAGATATGTAGTCTAACGACTTCAATGCAGGAACTGCGACAGGTGGTAAAGGATATAAACAGCCGGCCCCCACAGCCCGAGGACCCAGAACGGTCCCTTGATCCGGACTCCTAAGAGGATCCGGACATATCGGTGGAGCTTATCGATGGGGTGTTCCATTAGCTAAGCAAGGACAATACCTTGGTAGCCATCACGGCTGATTACCCAGGGTTAATCCCGGCCTCCCAGGTGACAGAAACCGGAGTCTCATTCCCTTGAGAGAGATTCCACTCTCACGTATTCTAGTGTTTCTGACGACAACCGTGTTTTGCAGGGGAGATTTCCGAGGCAGGAGGCCGATCCCGCGGCGGCTAGCCAACGAGGGGCCGCAGGGGCCCGTGGGGCAAAAAGGAATGTAGTCCGGACTGAGATGCCGGCGCAAAGGTATAGCGCACCCTCTGTTTCCCTGGTGTTATTCTGTCAGGGCATATTAACGTTCATGCTATCTTCAGAATGAAGAGACCTCGCCGGACTACATCCGAAGAGGTTGCCAATCGCGCCTCCACCAGCCAGGCTCCAACGTCTGGCCAGGAAGCGGAGGCGAGCACAAGGCGTGCACCGGACGCTCCTCCGACAGAGGATGCGGACATGCTGTCTGCCACAAATTCTGAAGTGGAGAGTGCCATGAACCATAGGCGTCGCCAGACAGTTCTACGCGATGCTTGTTTCTCCCAAGAGGCTTTAGATGTCTTTAATTCGGGAGATCTGTACCTCCGTGCCGCTCAAAATGGTTTAGCCAGAGCCACGGAGCAGTATGTAAAAGACATACGGGTAAGAAAATTTTGGTCAAATATATATATACCAGTAGCCCCCGAGACTTGAAATAGTTAGAGCAACTGATTTAAGGATCATTTAATATGCAGGTTCTTACAGAGAAGAATACTGTACTGTCCCAGGAGCTGGAAAAGTGCAAGGCCCAACTAGAGGCCGCACTAGCCGCAGCAGGGGAGCCCAAAGAGACCCCCTCAGGTAAGATACACTTCGAAAGATTAGTATTGTGCGGTTTGGGTGCAAATCTGACAAATCATGTTGCAGATGGCGCCGAACTCGATCCGGAAAAGCAACAACTCTTACGCCGGCTAAAGGCCGGTGAGAGTACATTGACAAAGGTGAGGCGAGAGAAGAATGATCTTCAGGATGCCAACACCCGGCTGGACGTCAAACTTAAAGATGTTTGTGGCCAGCTGTCGGACTCCATGAAGGAGAATCAGCAGCTTCGACGCGGCATATTTAGTAAGTGCTTGAATGAACTTTGAAAAAATAGTTCGGTGAGGAAGTCGACTAACAGAGTAATGTCTGTAGGTATGCTCACAGGTCGTCCTACAGAGGAGATGCCCAGTTCTATGGGTGACCTTCTTCCCGAACTCACGCAACTGCACGAGCGAATTCAGCAGGCGATACGAGGCGTTGCCCAAGCCTTATGGCCTGCTCACTCCATGCCCGAGGGCCTTGGAGAGCTTGCGGAGAAGCTGAAGGGAGCTCGGTGGCGCTTCCGGTTGTGGAAGATATCGGCCTGCCGACAAGGCGCTAGGGAGGCCTGGGCCATGGTGAAGACCCGTTTTATGAAGTCTGGCCCAAACCACATGGCCGAGGTCGGACCAGTGGGGCCTGACGGGATGGAGATCCCTATAAGCTTAGTATATGGCCAAGTAGAGTTAGCCGCGAAGTATTCCCAGCAG